ACTCTTCCTTCCCTACTTGGATATCCAGCCAGTGGGGTCATCTCTCTATACCTCATTCATGACACACTCTCATTTCCACACATCCGTGAATTTGCACTGACTGCCCTCCACACGCCTAATTATGTCTTTTTTCAGCCCTACTTTACAGAGTCCCTCTCTTTGTGAAAGAAGCAATCATCTCAGGTACCATCTTCAGCAGGAAGGCATTCCTTATTAAATCAACTACTAGTGGTTTCCCTTCTAAGTACCTTATATTTAATTACATTGTATACATTTGCTTAGATTAACTTTATGTGTACAATACATGTTTTTTTACACTCATCTTCCCAACTAAAATGTAAGCAGATTGTGAATAACGGTTTGTTTCATTCTTTGTCCATGTTCTCCGGTGCTTAGCATAGTACCTTGCATAGCATACTAGGTGCTTAACACATAATTGATGATTCATGTATTGATCACATTGAGCCATAATTGGCCCCTCTGCTTTTCTGATGCCAGAGAAGCTGGAGATGGAGACAGAGGCAGGGCAAAAGAAGCATAATCCATCTTTCCCATGATAGCCCTACAAACATGTGAAGACATTGAGTATGTTCCACTTATATCTTCTCTTTTCTAGGCTAAACTTCTCCAATACATACAGGTGACTCTTACATGACATAGTCTTGAGTCCCCTCACAATTGTGTACAAAATCTAACTTGTCAATGTTGATCCTGAAATGGGGTTCACAGAATTAAAGACAAGACTCTGGATTTGTGCATGCCAGAGCTGAGGAAAGTGGGATTGATCTTGCTTTACTTTTGTCACTTGCTTCTATTAATGCAGATTCCAGGTAGATTTAGGTATTTCTACCTCCATTCCACAGTACTGCGAAGCTCAGGAATCACTACCCAGCCCTGTAAAATGAGGGAATTGGACGAGATAATGCTTAATATCTCTTCCAGCTTTAAACTCCATGATTCTGTGAACTTCTACAGACTTTAGCTAGAGAGCTAATTATGTTAACACACAAAAACCAGTTTTCAGAAGATAATGTTTCCAAACACCCCACTCTCTCAGATGTGTTATTTCCACATACGAGGAACCATAGATTAGTCCATTTTTGCACTTTGAAATGGCAGTTATGCCAGACACATAACAATCCAAAATCGGTTCCTCTTCTTTTCCAGATGAAAAAAATCCAGTAGATTTCCTCCAAAAAATTAAATATAAGCTCTTAATACTTAACTCCTGACTCCTTTCCATTGATGCCTAATTCTAATTGTCTAATTCTCCTAGAAAATGTCAAGCAGGAAGCCTATTGAAATGTTCAAAGGGACTGTGAAGCAGAGGGCCCCAATTTCTCTTCCAGAAATAAAACAATCATCATTCAAGGACATTTCCCCCAGCATGAGACATCTGTCAAGTAGAGGTTTAACATAAGTGAGTGTAAAATATATGGATGGGGATAGGAGCAATACATACAATTTCACAATTACATAGGAGCATTCCTCATTATTGACATCCCTGTGGTTCTGGGGGGAGCTTCATTATCATTTCATGAAGAATCCATTTATTGATTTGTTTTCAGCACATATTTGTGAAATCATAGAGATCTAGGCACTGAGCATCATAGAGTCATAAATTTAAAACAGCAAAAGACATGGAGATAATCTAGTCCAACTCTCTTGTTTTATAAATGAGGAAGTAGGAGACCAGAGGGTTTAAAGGTACATCCTTGAGGTCCTACAGGTTGTAAGGGGCCGAAAATCCTCTGAGTGCAAATTCTTTGCTTTTTCCATTATACCATGCTACTTCTCTCAAGATCTCCAAATAAAATATACTCATATTTTTGATAAAGTCACATTGTAATTTAAGAATTGATTGAAGGGACCTAGTAATGTTTAGCCTGAAGAAGGGAGAACTCAGGAAAAGATATAATAATTAATTTTAGTCATTTGAAGCACTATCACATAGAAGAAGGAATATACTTGTACTTGGACCCACCGGTCCAAGTATATGCACAGCAAAATACACAAAATTATAAAGGAAACCGATTATAAAAAAGATAGTTACATATGCATACATATTTGTATATATATACATGTATGTGTGTGCATGTGTTTATGTGTAGGTATACACATGTGTATCATGTGTATGCATGTGTACACACACATATACACATACAGTTCTGCCACTGGGCAGAACTAGATGTAAAAAGTTGAAGTTGTAAAGAGGTAAATTATGATTAAGACAGGAAACATTTTCCTAAAAATTAGACCTATCTAAAAGTGGAATCACTAATTTGGGGCATAGTGGGTTCCCTCACTGGAAGACTTTAAATAAAATCTGCATGATCATTTTTAGGTATGTTCTTAAACGACTCTTATTTAGATCTGTCTTGGTCTAGAGAAGGGGGTGGGGGGGAACTGCGGCCTCAAGGCCACATGTAACAGCTCTCTAGGTCCTCAAGTGCGGCCCTTTGACTGAATCCAAATTTCACAGAACAAATCCCCTTAATAAAAGGATTTTTTCTGTAAAACTTGGACTCAGTCAAAAGGCCATACCCAAAGGCCTAGAAAGCCAGATGTGGCCTCAAGGCTGCAGGCCCACCTCTGATCTAGAGGAAAGGGTTTTAAACTTTTTTGCATGTGTCATGGACCCATATGGAAGTTTGGGAAAGCCTATTAACCCCCTTTCAGAATGAAAATACACAAAATTACAAAGGAAATCAATTGAAAAAGATAGTTACATATGCATGCATATTTTTATATATATAAATATATATGTATATATAAATATATATATATATTTATACACCTATATGTGTGTCCATGTGTTTATATGTGTAGGTATACAAATATGTATCATGTGTATGCATGTGTATACACACATATACACAAGGTATTCCAAAACATTCCAAAAGTCTCAGAGAAGTTTTAAGCTAGTAAAGCAGACCAGAAGTAGCCACCTCGAATCAGTAAAGCTCAACATCATACTAACACTTTAGGGACACTTTGTGTATTAACAAGTTCACAGACCCCGGGTTAAACTCTCCTGGTCTCAGTCATGTCCAAAGTCCTTTCAAACTCTGAATTTCTGTCATCAGAAAAAAGGAAAGGACCTTAGATTTTTCTGGACTAAGGGCTTCTCTTAACAGTAGAGTAAAATGAGGCACAAAAAGCGGAAGAGCCACGTCTAACATTCACCCTGCTCACGAGGGCATAATTCTGATTACAGCCCAGTTCCCCTGTTCCCCAAACTTCCCCTCAAGGTGAAAGGTAACTGATGGCTGTAATCTCTCCTTCCAGCTCCCTCCTAACTACTCAACAGAATATCTTCCTTGCCTTAGTAGAAAAAGCTATTTTTAAAAGGACCCTCTGAGATTCCATTTGAAAAGAAACAAGATTTTAGCAACAGTTCAGCCTGTCCAGTTAATTCTTTCCAGCCTGGCTTCAGCAGGATGAGAGCTTGCCCAGTGGGAACAGCTCCCTGCTTTCGGGCTCTTCCCAAGTGAAAGACCCCCATCACCTTCGTGAGTAAAGATCTAGAAAAGGTCACAGTGCAGTCAGGCTGATGTAGTAGCCTTTCAGAAAGGAGGTAACCCCCTGCTGTTTGCCTCTGAGGCAGCATATTAGACAAGGGTTCTGACATTGCCAGAGCAATGAAATCTCACTTAGTGGCTACTTCCATAATAATCACATTAATTGGAGCCCAGTAAGGCAAGCATTCCAAAAAAATCCTCTTCCAATAGGTGTAGACCCTGCCAACATCACAGTGAGCTGGAAAAAGCACGGGGCCAGAAGTCATGAAACTGATCATGGCTCTACCTCTTAATAATAATTGCCACGTTAAAGAATTCAGAGAACGTTACATGAATAATCTTATTTTTGAACTTCACTGGTCCTGGAATGTAGCAAATGCTGAACTGATGCTCGTTCACTTGACAATCACCTTATGAAGTAGGTATGACAAGTGTTATTATTGTACCCATTTTACCTAGGTGGTAACTGAAATTTTGCAAGTTTAAGTTAGTAAGTGATGAAGATAGGATTTGAACCAAAATCTTTCTGACTGAATCTAGTACTCCAAGCCATCCTCCCTACTATGCCAAACTCCCTTCTTCGATAAATCACTTAATCTCCCTGGGCTTCAGTTTCCTCATCTATATGGTGAGACTCTTAATTGGATCCCTTTTAGCACTAACAACTTATTTTGTTGTTTAGATATTTCATTAGTGTCTGACTCTTCATGACCCCATTTGGTGTTTTCTTGGCAAAGGTATTGGAGTGGTTTTCCATTTTCTTCTCCAAATCATTTTACAGATGAGGAAACTGAGGCAAAAAAGGGTTAAGTGAGTTGTCCAGGGGCAAACAACTGGTATGTGTTTCAGGACACATTTGAACTCAGGTCTTCCTGACTCCATGTCTGATAGTTTTATCTGTTGCGCCACCTAGCTACCCCTAACTATACTTCCATGAATAGTTCCGTGAAAATACATGGGGGGGGGGAGTATATGAGCTAGAGCACTTAGCTCCAAATCACAAAATATTAATGCTTGAAGAGACTTTAGAGATCAATTATTGCAATACCTTAATTTTATAGATGAGGAAAACAAAGCCCATGAGAGATGACATGTTCACATTAGGTCACACAGTGAGTAAAGGACAAAGACTAGAACCCAGGTCTACAGACTACAAGTCTGGTGACCTTTTCATAACATTATGCTGTTGTCATCAGCCTCCTGGCTAAGGTTGAAAGTTAATATGCTGAATCATGTCACAGCAGGTGTTCTGCAAAGTTAAAATGGGTTTGGATATAATTGATTAATAGCATCATTTGGAAATAACTTCCAACAGGGCAACATTCCACAGTATGCGACTGTAATCTAAGAAGATAATTCGGGAGATTCCAAAACCAAGTCAAGTGGGGAAAGTTCCCCAATTAAAGCTAGGAAATAATGAAGTTGAATCTAGATCTCCAAGCAGAATTCCACATTCTTCACAGCATGAATTGGGCTTACCTTCTTCACCCATTGGACACTTGTTGCCAATTTCTGTAACACACACCACCCATTTGATTTTTCACTTAATGAGTCACCGCAAAAATCACTCTCCTGGGACCGCTTCTCCAAAAACCGTAGTTCTGGCTGCAAGGGAGGAAAAGTCCTTTTGTTATTGAATAAGACAAAAACCAGGACAACAGCATTAATCAGAAAGTTGTCTGAATTGTCTAGATTTAAAAACATATTAATAAAGTGTCCATACATCCTCCCATCTACTCCCCACCCCAAGAGCCGACTGTTAGACATTTACCATTGTACACCTATGTTACTCTATAAACATTGGTTCAACTCAGCAGCAGTGTGGTAAAAGGATCAGGGAATGCAGTCATCACCAGATTCAAGATCTGGTGTCTGTAGATTAATAATATTAAATGGTATTTATATAGTGCTTTAAAAGGTTTGCAAAGTACTTTACATCCAGCATCTCATTGAAGCTTCAGAATACTCTTGAAAGTAAGACTTCTAAGATGCAAAGGTGAGGAGGAAGCATATTCCAGGCGTGAGGCAAAGTCAAGGAGGTGGGAGATGTAGCATGCGTGAGAAACATCCAAAGGGACAATGTGGTTGGATGATAGAGTAAATGTAAAATAATAGCTCACTTTCATTGTAATTAAGTGGCATACTGGATAGGGTACTGGGCCTAGAGTCACAAAGACCTGAATTGAAATCTAGCTTCTGACACTTACTAGCTGTATGACCCTGGGTAATTCATGTAACCTCTGTTTGCCTCAGTTTCCTCAACTGTAAGATGGGAATAATAATAGCAACTACCTTGCAGGGTTGTTGTGAGGATCAAATGAGATAATATTTGTAAAAAGCCTATTACAATATCTGGAACATATTAGGTATGATAGGTAGATAGATAGATGTTATATATACTATATAACATGCTATAATAAATATAGTATAATAATATAATGCATAATTATATGTGCTATATATGTTATAATAATAATAATTATTATTATTTTACAGAGTACTTTTCTCACAACAATCCTATGAGATAATTAATTAAGGTCCTATTAGAAGATATGAAAGCTAAGACACATAGGAAGAGAAATGACTTAGCTATAGTATCACAGCCAAGGTCAGATATCATTTCACTACGATCTATAAGTTTACTTTCAATTCTATTTTTTCTGGCACCAAGCTAAGTACAACACAAAGTGTAGGTGGTTTATCCATATTAGTAGAAAGAATAAATCAATAAGGAAGGACAATGGATAGACATTGGTACATGGGACCAATAATTAATGCAAAGAGTGAAAAAGGTTGCCAATGTTTGATTTATCAAAAAAAAACATGTATTAATTTCTTAGTTACCAAGCATTAATTAAACATTTACAATGTGCCAGGTACTGTACTACACAATGAGATACAAAGACAGGGGGGAAAAAGTCCCTGCCCTGGAGTTCACATCTAGTTGGGGAAATGATATGCTTATATCACTTATGTATATGAAAGACATGATATACACACACACACACATATGTATCTTTACATATGTTCATACACATATTCATCCAAGGTAACCCTAGAGAGAAGGCACTGGCATTTAGAAGGAGAGGGAGACAGGGAAGGGATCCTGCATATGGCAGCATTTCAACTGAGTCTTAAATAATACCAGAAAATTGGTAGTCACTAGACTTTATTACATAGGGGAGTAACTTGGTCAGACCTGTGTTTTAGGAAAATCATATTGGCATCTGAGTGGAATGTAGTTTGGAATAAGTTCTTTTTTCAAACATAAAATTTGAGGTGAATTCAGAATAACCTGTTTGAGATGCCTAAGAGGTAGTTGGTTGAGATGTTATCATAGGCGAACTAGTTAGACTGGAGATCAAGATACAGGTTATCGCTGGATATGTGATCATGGAACAATCTGCATAGAGATAATTCAACTCACAGCAACTGATGAAACCAATAAGAAAGGTGGTATAGAAGGAAAAGAGATAAGTATTCAAGACAGATCATTGGAGCACATCCTTGATTAGTGGATATGACTTGAATGAAGATTTAAAAATCTGAAAAGAAACACTGCTCTGTAAGGCTATAGTGCTGATGCATAGGCTTACAGGATACACAATTTTCAAGAAACCTTAGAAATTGTAGACTCACTGCTTTCATTTTATAAATGAGAAAACTGATGCCCAGAGAGAGGAAATTATATGCTCATTGTCACACAGAAAGTTAGTAGTGGAATAGGCCTACAAAAGTTAAAAAAAAGTATATCTCATTTTGCTTGTGGGGTAACATAGGGTGCGCCTTTAAACACCTTCTGGCCTAAGGAGTCCAGGTTTTGAAGGAGGACAAGAGCTGGAATCCAGTAACGTCATATATGAACATAGACTGATAGTAAGTGATCCCATTTGTGCCAATATTTCCCTTTGTATCATCTTCTGTAAAACACAGGTGCTGAAATAAATTACCTCTCTAGTTCCCCATATCTAAATCCCATCCCACAATCCTAAGATTATTTTATAAAAGCAGTGCAATTTCCCCCTTTGGGTCCTCCTGCTTTGAGCCCCTCCCTGGAGGTTTCCCTTATATAGAGAGAAAACAATAATAACAAAATAACCCCTTCCTCTTCCCTAAAAATCCAAGATTGGGAGAAGGGGGTGAATATTGATGGGTGAGTAAAAGGAAGAGGCTAATTCTACCCCCTCCCCCATCCCTCAGTATTTCTTTCGTTGGGTTCATAATGGCCTGACTTTGAACCTGTGAATCTGATAATTGGACTGAAAAGCAGAGGGGAAATTGCTCAATTTCAAAGAGTTAAAAAGAACAAATGAGTGACATTTTCCAACAGAAAGGCCTGATGTCTGCCTTCCCAAGCCAACTCAGAGAGAATTAGAGGCCTTCAACACCCTCCCACTGTGACAGTTTTTTTTTGAAGTTCTCTCAAATTTCCAACATCCAGAAACCAAACTTTCTCCACCTTAAGTCTCTGAAATATTCTTTCAGTTTCACCCACCCTAAATCTCCAAAATAAATCTCCCAGAAACTTCACTTTTACGGTAGAGTAGATGGAGCCAAGTCATTTCACAACTGTCCTCCATTAAAGATGAGGGGATGCTTCTTGCTGTAGTCGCAGCTCAAGTTCAAAGAGAGTTAGAAACACAACCCTACGAGAGACTAAGGCTGTATCCACCAACAAGCCTGGCGCTAGCGTTTTGTGGGATATCACTTTGGAAATGACCTTACAGATAATCTGCTCCAGCCCTCACTTCACAAATAAGGAACTTACGTGTAGTGTGGGAGAAAGGCCGCTAGATTTGTGTTTACATCCTACCTCAAACTGAAAGGAAGGTGAAAGGAACAAGCATTGATTAAGCACCTACCATATGCCAGCCACTGTGCTAAAAATCTCATTTGATGCTCAAAACCCTGGGAGGCTGCTGCTATAATTATACCCATTTTAAAGTGGACAAAACTGAGGCAGACAGAGGTTAAGTGACTTGCTTAGGACTACCTTTATATCCACTGTGCTATCTAGTTTACTATGTGACCTTAAAGTCATGTAAAGTTGGAGGCAGCTAAGAGGCACAGTAGATATTATGTTAAGTAGATAGTATGTTAAGTGTGGAGTCAGGATAACAAGAGTTCAAATCCTGCCCCAGACACTTACTATCCATGTGACCTTGTACAAGACAGTCAGTCTCTCTCGGCCTCAGTTTTCCCTCTTTTTGCAGCGAAATAAATTGAGGCCCAGGAAGGTTAATTTGCCTGAAGTTATATAAGCTGTAGGACATAGCTGAGTCAGAATTCAAAGTTAGGTCTTCTGATTCCAAACCAGCATTCTTTCCAATGCACCAGAAGTTTCTGCTCCTAATTAGTGATACCTTGCCCAACTACTTCTTTGTTATGACCTCAAGAACAGTGATTTCTCCCATGGCATACAAACAGACACAAGTATGCCTTAGATTTTCCCACTATTTCTCCAAAGATGTCCTTCAAAATTTTTTTAATTGAGTAAGTTTTTCTTCCAATTTAGAGAGTCAACATTAAAGTTCATGTGAATGAGTGGCAACCACACCTGTCCAGACCAGCTTTGAGCCCCAGTTGTCTTCACAAAGAAGAGAAAGGAAAAGAAGAGGCTGTATGTCTGGGGTGGGGGGGGGAGGGAACAAGAAAATTAATCATCAATTCATGTCTGTAATACCTTTCTTAAAAAGTGTTTGAACATTCCGACATCTAAGTTGGTCTTCAAGCTTTTAGCAGAGTCGCAGAGAGAACAGAGGGTTCATTATGTCTAAGAGGGTTGTAAAGGTATATTGTGACATTTTCCTGCAGATCTGCTGTTTTTGACATGACATTCTTGACTGGAATGCTCATCTTCCCTCTCCTCCCCCACACCCCCTAACTCTCCTTGTCGTCAAATCATTTGTTACAGATTCACTTCCCTTATGAGCCCATCCGTCCTCCATCTCTATACCATATTTCTAGCCCTTATCTTTCTTGCCCTTCAGGTAATGGTAACAAACGCTGCTTAATTCTATTTGCATCACCTCAGACCAAAATTCTATGACTTTTTGGCAACCAATCTTTTTTTTTTTAACTTGACTGATTCCAGGACCAAACTTCTCAAGGGGATCAAATATTACATTGCCTGATATTCAGTTTACTACTACATGAAACCCTTAGAAACTAAGAAAGTGACAGGAATCAGTTCCAGTGAAGGAATGGGGAAACTGAGGCAGAAAAAACACAACACCCTCGTCCATGATTAATTTAATCTGTCATGAAAATTATTAGGGTAAGCAGCATGAGACCCATATTTTCATCTTGACTTTGTCATTAACCATATGTTATGACTTTGGGTAAGTTATATCTTCTCTCTAGGCCTTACTTCCTTGTATATCTTGCTTCTAGGACTGACATTTTTTGTTATATGTTCTAATGTTCCATGTTCTAAGCTACGTCCTAGCTCCAAAATGCAATATACTGAAGTTTCTACTGGTTTAAGTCTATCTTCCAGTATTCCTTTCTTCTCTAACATCTGTGACTCAAAGATAACCAGGTTTGTGTCAAAGACTATAAGTCAGGGCACACTCTGAACTTGAATGAACTGCCAACTATATCTG